ATGACAACCAATGCACGATGGCCAGAAATAGTGGATAATATTCCCGCAGGTTATACTGCGAGTGACCACCCATCTCTCATGGATAGAGTATTCCAGTGCAAATTAAATGAAATGATAGATGACGTGCTGAAAAAGCACATTTTTGGGGTACACGTAGCTAACCTCTACGTTATAGAATTCCAAAAAAGAGGGTTACCCCATTGTCATAATCTGCTTATTCTAAGAGACGGAGATAAATTAACAGACCCTCGCAGAATTGATGCATTCATTAGTGCAGAAATACCAGATCCGCAATTAGAACCGGAACTGTATGAAATTGTAACCTCTTTCATGGTACACGGCCCTTGCGGAGAATTGAACCCAGACTCCGTTTGTATGGTGAATGGCCAATGTTCTAAAAAGTATCCTAAAGAATTTAGTGAACTTACAGTAATATCAGAAAAAGGGCAAGTCTCTTATAAAAGACCAAACAATGGCAGAACTTTGACGATTAGAGCTAATAACAGAAACTGTATTTTAGACAATCGTTGGATAGTTCCTTACAATCCCTATATCCTATTAAAGTATAAATGCCATATTAATATAGAGGCTTGCGCTACTACCCAATGCGTTAAATACTTATATAAATACCTATTTAAAGGTGTAGATCTGGCATTAGTTCGCATTAACGTAGAAAATCAAGCGAATTATAATGAGGTAGAAAACTACTTGAACGCACGGTATATGACTCCTCCGGAGGCCTGTTGGCATATCAATCAATTTGAAACCCATAAAAATACCCACACCGTTTATCGGCTTTGCGTTCATCTACCTACCAGGCAAATGGTTCGTTTCCAACCTGGATTCGAAATACAAGCATTAGAAAATAATGAAATTACCCAACTAACGGCATGGTTTCTGTTAAATCAGAATGACCCCGACGCCCGACAATATCTGTACACCGACATTCCATATCATTACGTATGGAATAGTAGAACTAAACGGTGGACCCGTCGCCAAAGGGGTGCTAACAAAATTGTAACACGAATGTACTCTGTGAGTATACGTAATCAGGAATTATATTACTTACGTTTGTTACTTTTACATGTTCCTGGAGCAATCTCCTACGAAGAGTTACGTACACTAAACGGGGTCATTTACGACACCTTTAAAGAAGCCTGCCAGCACAGAAATTTATTGGCAGATGACGTTGAGTGGAAACGAACTCTGAGAGAAGCTTGCTCTAGAGATATGCCATATCAATTGAGAAGCATGTTCGCTTTCATATTAGTTTTTTGTGAAGTTTCAGATGCTCCGGCGCTTTGGGACGAATTCCGAGATTATTTCATGGAAGATTTCAGGCGCCACGGCCTTTCTGAGGAACGGGCTCTGCAACAAACACTTCAATGTATTCAAACCACACTGCTGCTAAACGGCACTAGATTAGCATCATACGGTTTACCAGAACCTGCAGAAATGGTAATACGTTTTGATCCTATAAATATAGAAACCGAAAGAGTACAAGGTCAGGAAATGTACGAAAACCTCAATCATGAACAAAGAACCATTTGTAATGCAGTAATGAATGCTGTTCATGATGACAACGATCCCAATCGTCTTTTCTTGGTAAATGCCGCGGCAGGATCCGGCAAATCATACCTGTTTCAAACCTTGATCTCAAAGCTACGAGGTGAAGAATTACCCGTATTAGTAGCCTGTCCGACCGGAATAGCTGCTTCAATTCTAAAAGGTGGTCGGACGATTCATTCAGTATTTAAATTACCTTTTGATATTAACGAAACGACGACTACCGGAATCTCCCCTACTACAAGTGAAGGTCGTTACATAGCCTCATGTAAACTCTTAATAATTGACGAAGTCTCCATGGTGACAAATCTTATTTTTAACATAATCGAAAGGGCACTACGAGACATCTGCAGCGATAACAGACCCTTCGGCAATAAAGTGACATTATTAGGCGGAGATTTCCGACAAACCCTACCGGTAGTCGTTGGCGGAAATAGATGTACAATAGTAAACGCCTGTATAAAAAGTAGCCGACACTGGCCTCTATTTACAAATTACGACTTGCAAACAAACGTAAGGGCTATTCAGAATCACGAGTTTGCTACATGGCTCCTGAATTTAGGTAACGGAACTTTACAGCCTCTACGACGAACAATATATGGTAATATTGTACAAATACCCACAAACTGTTACGTTACCAGTGTCCCAGATCTTATCGAGTTCTGCTTTGATGACATGGATCCAACAGTGGCCATAAGTAGGGCCATTTTAGTTCCAACAAATAATATTAGCCATTCCATTAATAAAAAAGTTTTGCAAAAATTAGAGGGCCCGAGCAAAACTTACTGTAGCGCTGACTGTGTCGATACAACGGATGACCCGGCAGCCGAAGTGGCGAATTACACTGTCGAATTTCTAAATTCATTAACTCCCAGTGGACTTCCGCCACACAAATTGGTCTTAAAAGAAGGCGCCGTAATAATGCTTTTACGCAATTTAAACCTAAAAAAAGGTTTGTGCAATGGTACTAGATTAATTGTTCGTTTGTTGGGAAACCAGTACATAGACGCTGAAAAAACCGACAGTAGTGGCAGACCTACTGGAGAAAGAGTTTTTATTCCCCGTATAGACCTCAAAACAGGAGGTGACACTTTACCATTTAAATTAAAAAGAAGGCAATTTCCTGTTCAGTTAGCTTATACTATGACGATTCATAAATCGCAGGGACAAACCTTCAACCGAGTGGGTATCTATCTGGAGGAACCCGTATTTACTCACGGACAACTCTATGTAGCTTTTTCGAGAACTAAAAACATAGAAGACGTTAAAATTTATATGTTACAACGTCCAGAACAAGGTAAGCTTTTACCAAACACTGAAAACATATACACACGAAACGTCGTGTACAGAGAAGTACTATAATGTTTTATTGTACACCTCATCCATGAGGTTTGAGAGAAACTTTTCATAAAGGTCAGTAACTGAACTTTTTCCGTATTTGATACTCCCTCATGTAATACTCCAAATATGTTTTCATTATTCCAGCCTTTTCCATCTGACAGTTTGGTATATTATCATTACAAAACACTAACTACGTGTAACAATTTTGCAAATATGTCAATATAATATCTCATTTTTAGTAGACAAACTTTTCCGATTATAATTATTCTGTTACAAGAATTAATTACTTTCCCTATATTTCCATAGATCATGAGCACAGGCTAATTTGGCATCGTGCAATCAGTTGCTTTAAATCGAATAAAACAACATGTTTTGATCTTAGAATTGGGAAAATGGTTTGCTATTTATAGCAAACGTATAATCGGAAATAAGAAATATTTATATTTTAATACGTCTACTTTCAAATTTTTTTCTTTATTTTTTCTATAGAAAAATAATATTGGCATATTAAACTGCATCTTAAATACCATAATGTCTTTCCTTCTCATTTTCATATATGAGAATTTTTTCTGTCGCATGGAAAAAGGCAATACTTCCTTCTAATTTTTTATTTGGCACTTGGTATCAAATATGAGGCAAACATTATACCATTTTAAATACGACTGCTCTTATATGCTTTCGAGCAATACTTAATATACCGTGCCTTATGTAGAAGGATATATTATTCCAAATTTAATCTCAAAAAGATATTTCCAGTTATATTTCATCTTACTTTAAAATCAATAATTTAATGTTTTTGTTATTATTTTTTCCAACACTAAATCTAATCATATATTAAAACCTTAATTTTCAATGTCAGACTCATTTAGAGAAATAATAACATGTATTTTATTAAATTATACAATTATTACAATTTCAAAATTGCTACTTTTATAATTTTTTTATACTCTCTATTGATTGGAAAAATCCGATGCTTCCTTCGTATCATAATTGGCGGTTTTATCAGATATGGAGCAAATACTATGCCACCACTTTAGGCAAAACTGTCTCCAAATGCCTTGAGCAATTTCTGATTAATATACTTTGCCTTTTTTACAAGGATAGATATTTCGGAATTTCGTTTCTGTGAGATATAATTTAATATAATAACCTATCTCCCCTCAAAATCATTAATTTAATATTTAATGTTATTATTTTTTTATCCCATCAAATTCAAAAACATGTATCAAAAATATTTATAACCTGTAAAAACTTTTCCATTTTTCTCCTTCAAAAATTATTCAAGTAAATTTTCTATCCCAATATTTAACAACTTTTATGATGTAAAATATATACTTTTTCCAACACTAAATCTAAAATCATATATCAAAACCTTAAAAATTTATTTTCAATATCAGTGTCATATAGAAATAAAAACAATGTATTTTATTAAATTATGCAAATATCACAATTTCGTAATTGCTACTTTTATCATTTTTTATACTCTATTGATTCGAAAAACACGATGCTTCCTTCGTGACATAATTGGCAGTTTTATCAGATATGGAGCAAATACTATGCCATCACTTCAGGCAAAACTGTCTCCAAATGCCTCGAGCAATTTCTGATTAATATACTTTGCCTTTTTTACAAGGATAGATTTTTCGGAATTTCGTTTCAGTGAGCTATAATTTAATATAATAACTTACCTCGCCTCAAAATCATTAATTTAATATTTAATGTTGTTATTATTTTTTATCCCATCATCAAATTCTTAATCATTGTAACCTGTAAAAACTTTTCCATTTTTCTCCTTAAGTAAGTTTTCTATCCCAATATTTAATAACTTTTATGATATAAAATATATAATATAAACTCTCACAAATATTTTCAATCTGCCAATAATTATCCAATATCCCAATAAATAAAAAAAATGTATTTAAAATATTAATACATATTTTAAATATGGTTTATATTCTTTTAAAATCTACATTTTAGACCAAAATCCTTAAATTTTCCACTCAGTGTCTATTTATAATATTTCATATATTTCACATATTATGTATTTTCTATCTATACTACTACTTTTTTTTCAAAATTTATAAATTTATAATTATATTTCAACAAACACGTGTACATTGTAATTACGTTTTATTGTTACGACGATTTAATACCAGCCAAATAATTCAACCACCATTTTCTACTCCTGAACCTATTGGATGCGCAGACTTTTATAAGAAGACTACAGCACGGTTTTGACAATATCGTTAAGTTACTGCATTCATATTTTATTACGTTTCAACTGATATGAATCGAAACGAAATTATTTTCCTATTTAATAATAATTGAAACATATGTATTTAATTTTTTTGATAGCAAGTCAACCCCAGAAAACCTAGCCCGAGAACAACAAGGGCAGGTCAAAAGTTCCTAGCTACGGTTAAGGAAATGCAATGAAAATCTAAAAACTTAAGATAGAAATCAAAAATATTTTTTTCCATAAATTTAACATTAATTGCCGATACATTCAAATCCGTAAATTACAAAAACTTCATTTCATCTACATTTATTTTAACTTTAAATGCAAAAAAGTTATTACCTTTATCTAAAAATAAGCCTGTCTAAAGATTCTAAATCTAAAAAACTGTTGGCAAATAATTATCATAATAATAACTAAACAAAACCTATGAGGTATTCCATGAAAATTCTATATAATATAAATTATATATTTTTCTATAAAGTAGGTATTTCATTACTTTTTATTTGTGCCCAAATATCAATTATTTGTGACAATTTTTTTTCTATTTGAATATTTTATAGCAAAATTTTTATTTTAAAATAAATAAAATTAATATTTACATAGCTCACCGCCACAAATCCTTTGTAGATATCACTGAATATACAGTCAACGAAGAAAAACCAATTATTCGATAAAAGCTGGATTCCACCAGTTACAAAGGCCATTACGAAATATTTGACATCGCCACTATTTGAAGAAGAGTAGTTCCATTTATAATGATATTAAAGCCAACAACAAAATTGGAAATAAACATCACGACAAACCTAGAGTTTTAATAGCAAGTCCGTCTCCACAGAGCCTAGCCCGAAAACAACAAGGACAGGTCAATGGTTCCTAGCTGCAGCTAAGGAAGTGCAATGTAAATCTGTAACTGGTGGCCGTCAAATACATAAATTAAAGCATAACAACCTGAAAAACCAAGGTAAAAACACAATTATCAATTAAGTATTTGATATTTTTTTCTATTCATTTGAATATTTTGTCGCGAAATTTTTATTTTTAAATAAAAGTAATTTTACAAAACTCAGAGCAACAAATCCTTTGTAGACATCACTGAATATGCCGTCAACGAAGAAGAACCAATCATTGGAAAAGCTGGATACCACCAGTTACAAAGGCCATTACGGAATACCTGAGATCACCACTATCTGAAGAGCAGTTCCATTGATAACAATCTTAAAGCCAACAACAACAATGGAATTGAACATCACGGCAAACCTAGAGTTTTAATAGCAAGTCCACCTCCACAGAGCCTAGCCCAAAAACAACAAGGGCAGGTCAATGATTCCTAGCTACAGCTAAGGAAGTGCAATGTAAATCTGTAACTGGTGGCCGTCAGATACATAAATTGAAGCATAATCTGAAAAACCAAGGTACAAACGCAATTATCAATTAAGTATTTGACATTTTTTTTCTATTCATTTGAATATTTTGTCGCGAAATTTTAATTTTAAAGTAAAATTAATATTTACACAGCTCAGATAAACAAATCCTTTATAGACATCACTGAATATGCCGTCAATGAAGAAGAACCAATCATTTGAAAAGGCTGGATACCACCAGTTACAAAGGCCATTACGGAATACCTGAGATCATCACTATTTGAAGAGCAGTTTCATTTATAACGATCTTAAAACCAACAACAAGAACCGAAATGAACATCACGGCAAATCTAAAATTTTAATAGCAAGTCCACCCCCACAGAGCCTAGCCCGAAAATAACAAGAGCAGGTCAATGGTTCCTAGCTACAGCTAAGGAAGTGCAATGTAAATCTGTAACTGGTGGCCGTCAAATACATACATTGAAGCATAATCTGAAAAACCAAGGTACAAACACAATTATCAATTAAGTATTTGACTTTTTTTCCTATTCTTTTGAATATTTTGTCGCGAAATTTTAATTTTAAAATAAAATTAATATTTACATAGCTCAGAGAAACAGATCCTTTGTAGACATCACTGAATATGCCGTCAATGAAGAAGAACCAATCATTTGAAAAGGCTGGATACCACCAGTTACTAAGGCCATTACAGAATACCTGAGATCATCATTATTTGAAGAGTTGTTCCATTTATAACGATCTTAAAACCAACAACAAGAACCGAAATGAACAACACGGCAAACCTAGAGTTTTAATAGAAAGTCCATCCCCACAGAGCCTAGCCCGAAAATAACAAAGGCAGGTCAATGGTTCCTGGCTACAGCTAAGGAAGTGCAATGTAAATCTGTAACTGGTAGCCGTCAAATACATAAATTGAAGTATAACAACCTGAAAAACCATTTTTTTCCACAAATAACATTATATTCAAACAAATATTCATTTATTCTTATGGTCAAATTTTATATATCGTAGATTGAAAACCGTTAAGTTTTGAATAATATTCCATTTAAAAAATTATACTAAACCATTTTAAATAATATAAAAATCTAACTCTTCCTTTTATTTTCTCTTATATTAAAAAAACCTTAAATACAAATTTCTCAGTTATCCCTTACAGGTATTTAATAAAAATTATTACTTTTTAAAATTACATTAAAAAAAAACAAAGTAAATAATTAAATAATTTGTAACTTTAATATAATTCAATGATTCAATTTTAATTTAGTACAATTATTTTAGACGAAAAAATATGTTCTGTCTGTTTCATATAAGTATTTAAAATTAAAAAAAGAAACAACAAATATTCAATGAATTTCATCAGTGAATTTAAATTAAAAACCTGCCAATACTACAAACATTTAAAATGCTTTTTGGCAAAATTTTGTTTTTGTTATTCAAAACTTGAAAACTTTGAGACCTCATATATAAAGCTCTATAAAACTTTTTCCATTTAATTTTATATAATTATAACTAAATATGTAAAAAATTTTTAATAAACTATATAATTCAACAAATTTTTATCAATATATGTAATGTAACGAAATGTGTAATAGAATTAGAATCACTAATAACATTACATCGACTAGAAAGTTTTTGGCTCTATAATCATTCTTAAAATTCCAAATTCCAGATAAAATTCAACAAAAAATATACCAATAAACAAAAAAAAAACATCAAATATGTTTTGCAATTTATAATTACAGCAGAGACAAATAAATAACGTTATACATTATTTCATATTTAAAGATAATGTAGATAAAGGTAATATAGATAATGATATTTTTATGAAAAACCTTATACCCGACTAACCAAGTGTTTCTTGCAATTTATGTAAAGGATGTTCCATAAAACTGACACAGGTGTACCAGATTTTCCCTTATTCATTTTGTTAATTTTTTTATAAAATCTTGAAGAAAAGTTGTATATTTACTGACCAGCCGCTTTTTAGAAAATCCATATATGTACTGGGTGTTCCACAAAATTGACCCACATCTGAAACGGACAATTTTTTCCCTTTTCACATTTATTAACCAGTCTTTGAATTTTTATACTGAGTATTTATTACCAATAGAACGAAACTTTCCTTAATGTTTTTTCCTTTTTCTATATTTTGTACTGAAGTCTGTAATATTTTTATGAAAACCCTTATACCCGACTAACCAGGTGTTTCTTACAATTTATGTAAAGGATGTTCCATAAAACTGACACAGGTGTACCAGATTTTCCCTTATTCATTTTGTTAATTTTTTCTTTAAATCTTTTGAAGAAAAGTCGCTTTTTTAAAAATCCATATAATAGATGTTCTATAGAATTAAGGGCAATTTTATTTCTTTTCACTTTTAGCTTTGTCTATTTACTACAGTCCTTTAATGAAAATTTGTATATTTATCAAGCAGATGTCTTAATTTATTTTTTTACCATTTCTGCCTTACCTGCGTAGTCTTTGAATGAAAAAATTTTATATTTACTAACCATATGCCTTTTTGGAAGTTTACAACAAACTTTTCTTATTCTACGGGGCCTACTCTTTTTTGAAAAACATTCTCATACTTTTATATACAGGGCGTTTAAAAATCAAAGTACAGGGTGTTTCAAAAAAATATTATATCTACTAAGCAGCGAGGAAAGCACCGCGGAGCGGTGCTCGGGGCGCGCGCAGCGCGGCTCGAGGGCCGAAGGCCCGAGAGAAAGGTCAAACTTCGCGTCAGCGAAGTTTGCCTACCTTTCTAGTCAATATATATTAAAATCCTATAGCTCCGTCTGCGTCGCACTATCGGTCCGAAAAAGAGCCGATTTGTGTTGGGGTCTGCTCCTCCGAGGTGTCGCGTAGCGACACCCGGGGGGGCCCGGAGGGC